TCCCTGGGTGCAAAGCCAAACCTCTAATTATACCAAATGCAAAGCAAGGGAAGAGTTTCTCTGAGCAGAGCTTATCATGCACTGGAAATAATTTAATATTATGTGCTGAGCTGGTGTGCAGAAGTGAAGAACTTGATTTAAGAAGATGTTTCCTTTAGCAGATGTAGGTGGTAATAAAACACCTTGGTCCAGAAATAATTTAACAGACTTGTGTTTCTGAAGGCAGTGTTTAAAACAAGAAAAAAAAATAAAAATAGTGTCAGAAATTAAGAACTGCTGAGTTAACCAAAAGCAGCTGCAGAGTAGCAGGCAAATCTCTCAGGTACAGGGCTGAGATGCAACTTGCTTTGAAGTTCTGAAATGAAATGACCCAGGTGGCAAATGACACCACAAGCACCAAAATGACAGTGGTGGTCAAGCCAAGTAGGTATTGCTATCTCTCTGTGACAGAAGGAGATTACTATTGCACTAAGAGTACAGAAAGTGTTTCTTGCTTATCACTTAGGTCTAGAAAGTGTGGACACAAACACATAACCTTTTATCAGTCAGTGCTGCTCTCCCCATTTGCCTTGTATTTTTTGAGCATGTTTAAGGAAGGAATCTGTCTGCTGTAAGTAACTTTACAAAGCCACTTCTTCCAGGGCCAATTCTGAGTGGGCAATATGGTGCCAAGTAGGTAGGAATTTTGGGATTTTTTTTCCTGGACTGTCTTCCAGCAAGAATAAAGGACTCTTACCTCCTGTTGTCCTTTTTATTTATATATTTTCTTCTCAGCTGAGCTGCTGTGTTTTTGCAATGTTGCAGGAGTGCAGGAGAAGATGGGGATCATGAACAAAGGAGTGATTTATGGGCTGTGGGATTATGAGGCTCAGAACGACGACGAGCTGTCCATGAAGGAAGGAGACTGCATGACAATCCTGCGCCGCGAGGATGAGGAGGAGATCGAGTGGTGGTGGGCACGGCTCAATGACAAGGAAGGCTACGTGCCCAGAAACCTGCTAGGGGTGAGTCCTGGCTGCTTCCAGAGCCAAAAAACCCCACCCCAGCATGTGGAGTGTACACAGTATTGTGTTCTCCTTGGATCTCTTGCAAGGAAGTGCAGCTTTAAGAGTTGAGAGGAAGGAGGTGACATTCTCCATCTTTATTTAGGGAGTTGAATGCCTTGGCAGAGTGGGTTAACACCCTCTGTTTAAGGTACTTACCACAGATTAATGGGTGCCCAGAAGAACAATATGTATCACCACCTTGCCATACACAGCAGGCCCTAATACCAACTTTGTCTCACCATCTTAAAAAACCCCTTTAAAAAAAAAAAGCCTTTTATCCAAACATGATGTGTGAATAAGGTTTTCTTGAGCATGTTCTCAGGCACATGGGGTGATTTTAGGGCTGTTCTGTGTAGGGCCAGGAGCTGAACTCAGTGATTCCTTGGGGGGTTCCTTCCAACTCAGGATATTCTATGACTTTTTGATAATTTTCTCTGTTTCAAAAAAGTGATGAACTGGCACAAAGGGCCTTCAGAACTGAAACTTGCATGAAGAGTGAGTCATGAGTCCTTCCCTGTGTACACAGGGCACCTTTTGATCCAAGGATATAAACACTGCAAAAATCTAGGTTACCTTTTTGTTCTAGTGTTGGAAAACAGACTACATTGCTCAGTAAAGGCAGATCTTTGTTTTCTCCTATGCTTTTAAAGTAACATTTAACTATGTCTAAGGCCTTACATGAATGGCCTCTCCTTCTCTCATCACCTTTTGTATTGCCTTTTATTAAAAACAACAGTGTACAAATAAGATACTTTCAATTATGTCCCTGTATTTCTCCTCATAGCTGAGTTGCTAGAAAATGATGGCAGATGGACACATATATAAAAATTCCATTAAGCTTTTTTCTACAATTCTAGTTGCCCTGGTGCTGGAGATAAGAGATTCTCCAAGATTAACCACTGTGAATTTTTGCTGATTGATGTATGATGCTTGAAAGAGGCTGAGCCTCCTTCCTCATGCAGATAATCCTTACTCTTAAACTGGCTGGATTTTGCAGAGCAACTCTATCTAATGCAAAATCAGTTTTCATGTCTGTGTCGTTTCCAGGTCAGGCTTACACACCATGTACTGTAAAATTCTGCCTAACATACTACTCCTGCTCAGTTTTTTCCTCTCCAAAGTAAACATTTTTAAATTGAGAGCAGCCATCAGCCCTGCACAGTAAGGTTAAAATGGCAGCTTTTTGATTTTTGCTTGCCCTGGTGTGCATGTAGTGCTTGTTCATAACCTTGTGCTTTGAGCCTGAGCACAGGTAAGAATACAAGGAACATCTGTGCTTCTAGGAAAAAAAAAAAAAAAGCACAAGGCAGCACAGCTTAAACTGGAGATCAAAACTTACCTTTGTAAGCACAACACAATCCCAACAGAATCTTTGGGGAAAACTGCACAGTATTCATTAACTGTGACACTCCTGTGTCTGTTCAGTTGTTCTGAAATATCCTGTGGTGAGTCTCCAAAGCAATTACTGGCCTTTTAATATAGCAGCTGAATTCTGATCTGTGATGTTCACCAAAGAGGAAAACATCTGGTAGATTAATTCTTATTTTTATCATAGTTGCTTTTATCCTTTTGCAGCCAGGTGTACTGAATAAAAACAAGGATTAAATTATCTGTATCAGTGCTCTACCCTTCTTAGTGACTCCCTGGCTCCCTATGCTAATCAGATAATACTGTCAGGTGCTATGATACTTTAACTGACTGACTTCATCTCCAAGAGTGGTGAAGTCACAGCAGGCTGAGACAGACCTTGTGGTGAAGTCATTGGCCTTGTCTTAGTGCCTGAGAAAAGAAGAGAGCCAGAGTCTGCTTAAAGAGAGAGGGGGCAGCATTGAGGAGAGCTTTAAGCTGTGATGTAGACATGCATTGCCAGTTAGAGCACGGAGCATGCATCTCTCCTAACTGGATGAAGTTGTATCCTCCTATTTTCACATGCCAGGGGCCGTGCTTTGCAGAACAGCAGCTGTTCCCTAAGCCCTTCCAAGTGGGAGCCAACAGCTTCCCAGGCATCTTGTCTATTGCATTTGCAGGGAATGTCCCCGTTAGGGCAGGAATGATTCATCTGACCCCATGTTCTCAGAAAGCTAATTAATTACTTTATTATACTATATTATATTAAAGAATACTATACTAAAGAATACAGAAAGGATACTTACTGGATGCTAAAAAGATAATAATGAAAACTTGTGACTCTTTCCAGAGTCTCAACTCATCTTAGCCCTGGTTGGCCAAAGAGTCAAAACAATTCACGTGAAACCAATGGAACAACCACCTGTGGGTAAACAATCTCCAAACACATTCCAGATGAGCAAAACAGAGGAGAAACAAATAAGAATTGTTTTCCTTTTCTCTGAGGCTTCTCAGCTTCCCAGGAGAAGAATCCTGGGGAAAAGGGATTTTTTCAGAGAATGTGAATGCCACACTTGTCCCTGCTGTGTGCTGTCCCAGACTCTGTCCTGTCAGTTTTCCCTCACACCCCTGTGTGTGTGACCAGCACATGGCCCAGGGGTCACAGGCTGGCAGGGGCCAGTCTCCTGCTGGGCAGGTCATTCATGGAACTGGGCACCCACCCTCCACTCTCTAAAGCTCCTCCACTTCATAGTCATTCTGCAGACAGATGTTTCCAGCTTGCCCAAAGCTATGCTGCCATAAAAACTGATAGGTGAGAGAAAGCAAACCTCTCTGGTCCCATTTATATAACAGGGAACAATCCCACATTTCACTGAACACAGAAGTCTCTTGACTTACACAGCCACGTGCTTTTCCTGGCCCACCCATCTGGGTAGAGCTGAAAGTACTTAATTATGTGCTGTTCAATACTTTTGTACTGTATTGACACAGCATTTTTTAAGGTTGCCTAAGACTGCTAAATTCATATTTGTCAGTGCCCTGGGTGTTTTTTATAACCATGCTTTTGCTACTAGGGGTTACATCAGAATTGTAGCACCAAAGAGAGGGGTTTTTTGTTCCTTTATGTTTTCTTTTTTTAAAAAAGTAACCTTTTAAAGTACTAAATTTTTAAACCTCATTTCTGTTTTACCCTCAGCTGTATCCAAGGATTAAACCTAGACAAAGAAGCTTGGCATGAAATAGTATGGAAGCCAGATCCTTGAACTACTAATCATGGATAACTTACAGGAAAAAAAGTCCATTTTGTGTTGGTTCCAATATCATGAGACTTATTTCAATGACAATGTAATTTGAAAGCTATGAAAAATGTGCTTTGAAAACAAATGAAGGATTGATGCATTAGCAAATGGATGAGGGCATTGTACAAGATGAAATAATGCTTACAAGCAAATGAAATTCTGCTGCCTTTGGTCGAATCAAGCCATTATGTTCAAGTACCCACCCAGCTGTCTTCAAACATGGCAGAAGAGAGTTTCATTTCTTTTCTGCATTAAATACAAGGACCTTTTGAAATTGCCATTGAAGGAATCATCATGAAACAGACAACTTGGCTCTGTCCAAATTTATCCCGAGGCTTTTTCCAGATGGGAGAAATTGAAGTATGTGCACAGCACCCAACTGCTTATTGCTGGAAGCAGAATGTTTGTTAAAAGAAGCTAAAAAAACTGAAGTGCATCTGAAGAGTGACAACCCCATGACCAATCCATTAAGCAATAACTTTAAAAAAAGCTGTAGCATCTTAGAAATTCTATGTATTCAAAATATCATGTGCTGTAACAGAAATGTAGTTTTAGATTCCTCTTTTTACAAAGAGCCTCATGTATTTATTGTATTTTGTACTTGGAAGACTAAGTGTAGAAACTTTATGTAGTTCTTGACAATGTATTTGTTTTTACTCTACTTGTTTACTCCACCATTAAACTTTTGTCTCCTCTTAAGCTTTAACTCTGGGTATTTTAATAGTGATTTTTATTACAGATGTTACTAGTAAGACACACTGCTGTTGTACATGATACTAACTTTCAGCTGCTTTCTGTATTAACCTGAACCCCTCCTCCCCCATCCATTCTAGGTAGTTTTTCTGTATTTAAAATTGAGCTGAAGCTGTTAGTGTAACATTGTTAACCTTCAAAGCTAAGGGACATACTTAGGGGGGAAACCCAACTTTGATACAGGTATTTTCCAAATAAAACCTGTCCTATAGAGCTATCCTTTCTATCTCTCGATTTGGCAATAATTTGATACTGAACAGTATTTAACAGAGGAGCAAGTAATTCCTTAAGGGTATTTAGAAAGTGCCTCACCCTACAGGTTCCTGTTTTCCTACTAGGTAAGTCCTACTGCTTTCTGAAAAGGTGCCCAAAAGGAAGAAAGAGTTTCTAAGGAAGAAATTTCCCCACAGTTCTTCAGGTGGGGACACTAAAGGCAGCAGCAATTGGCTCATGGTCACAGCCTCTGATTTCAACAGTCTTGAGTGTGGGGTATGGAGTATCAGTTATCTATCTTATAAATCTTTGGCTGTTCAAGCATTAATCTTTAAAAGTATCAGCTTATCTAACATTTCATTAACTGCCACACACTCACAATCAGCTTCAGCATGCTGGTTTTCCCCTTTAAAGGGCAGCAACTTCTGTTCCTGAAAGCAAAAGGCTCTGCATGTGCACTGTGATGATCTGTCTCTAAGAAAAAAACCAAAAAGTGCTTATTTTCACTAGAAATAAGTCTGACAAACTTTACTTCTATTTTTTTTTTAAATTTAAATACTTTCTTGTATCGCAAAGGAAGATAAATAAGATACAGGAACTCAAGATTCTGCCTGAAAGCATGGGCTTTCTCTTGGAAAAATCTTGTTGCCAACAGCCACCTGCTCCAGGCACATCAATGCTCACTTTGGTCAAAGATGTACTTGCTACTCAAATTCTTTAAAGAATATTTAACTTAGGATAGTGCTGGGGCTTGGAACCCCTATCTCTGAGTACAGGTGTTTAGATATGCATTACTATCTCTTTACTAATTTCAGATATGCAGGATGTTGTTCAAAAAGCGCTTTTTAAAACCAGATTGTCAAGCTATAATGAGCTTTTCTTCCTGAAGTCCTGTAAAATGCCTTAAATACAAAGATAATAGCAAAGCAGTGTTTTCAAAACTTGCACTGAGGATTGATACTAAATTAAAGCCTTTGTCCAGAGGCTGTATGATATTAGGCACAGATTGTCAGACCCATAAAAATGAGGTTGCAGGTTCTTCTGTGGAAGTAGAATGCTTTTCTTCTTGCAATTGCATGCAAAATCTGCTAGCTTTGTGTAAGTTAAGGCACATTCATGTTTGGATATTCCTTGTATATAGCTTGATTATCTTCACCTGACCATGCTCTTGTTGAGTCTAGGCTGATGCCAGTGGCTCAAATGACAGTGAAGCACAGCCACTGTAACAAGAGAGAGGAGAAAACAAAGTTAAATTTAGTAAAAAGACCTGTAGCAAGCATGCACAGTTGCATTTCTAGCATATAGTCAGGCTGTTGTTACAGAAGTAATTTTAGGATCTTTCCTGAGTGATTTAAATTTATATTTCACTTAAATCAGAGTTTTGGGATTCTTAGGTTCAGAAATAAGCTATGTTCAGGTAATAAGCAAGTCAGACACACGTAGGAGGGTACTTTTCTCCAAACTTAGTCCTTTCTACAGGGCACACATGAAAGGCAGAAAGAAGCAGACATGAGCAAGGCCGTTCAGTCTTGCCTACACAACTGCACCTACATTTTGGTCTGTTGACAGAAAAAGCAGGGAAGAAGCCAAGATTAAAGGGATAAAGGGCTTCTGGTGCAAGTAACTGTGTCTGTTACAGAATATGTTGTGATGTTGGTACATTTTTAAAAGGTAACCTCTCTACGGCTGTTTATGAATCCACAAGGTAGATAAATCCAGCACAGATGTGAGTACTTATAACCAGCCACCCTCAGGCAGAATTCCCCCCCAAGTTTTCCCCAAAAATGAAGACAAATGTTTTAGAGCTAAATGAACTTACATTAACAAGGTTCAATTCTATTGTCCCACTTTTCTCAGTATCCAGTTTTCTAAACATTTCTGTGGTTGGAGAGACAGACAAGGGTAAATACAGGAACTAATCTGACAGTCTTCCCTTTCCTTGTGCTTCAGGATCAATAAGGAATTTAGTCCCAGAATCTAAAGCTTGACAATGGCCTACACCCCAAATCAGAAAGGGCTACTCCAAAGTCATTGTGCAGGAGCAAGACTGAACATTTTTAATTGCTGTCTAGCATTTTTTAATCAACATAAGAGTTGTTTGCAGGGAAGACCAGCTGTGGTTCAACAGCCTGGCCTAAAAGACTGATTCCTGGATCTAGGAGAAGCCAGATTAAAATCTCAGGTTTGAGCACCTTATCCTGGGCTTCTGGACAGTTGTGCCTGGCCAGTTTTCCTGCTGGAATCACAAGGCAGCAGAGCTGTCTGGTTACTGAGGGTGCACTCACTGAACAAGGTTTCGAGCCGAATCAAACAGCGCACGAAGTTGTCGAAGTCAATGACGAGATCCTCATCAGCAAAGCGAGCCACGATGACCTGATGTAACTGGCAGTTCAGTTTGAACCCTGGAAATACAATGCCAAGGATTTAAAAGACTCTTAAAGACTATTAAAGACTATTTCCAGAGAGTAAACACAGGTACAAAATGAAATGCCCGATCCTGCGTGGTGGCAGGAGGGAAAGGCTCCAGAGTGCCCAAAATTCAGTAAGTTAAGATGGGACTGTATGGCTCTGAGCATCTCTCAACCCTGCTTGAAACTGATGGAATCCTATGAAGAGACAGATCAGTATAAATACCTGCTGTTTCCAGTGCCCTCCTCATCTCATACGAGTTCATGGTACCCGATCGATCCACATCAATTTCTCTGTAAATTTTCTGAAAAAAACAAAACCCAAAGGGAAACCTTGACAATAATGCAGAGCGTGGTTTGGCTTCTGGCAGAAGTGAAACATTTTGAAATGCAACCTTAAAGCACTTAGCAACATTGATCTGAAGGACTTGGTACTTACATCCATTTCTTCAAAAAGTAAGGCTTTAAAAAGTAAGTTTTTTTAATGAAGTAGCCAGAGCAGATAAAGACAAAACCTGGGGGACTACAGACACGCAGTCCCTGCTCTGGGAAAGGTGACTGTGCACACTGTATGGCACAAATCAGTCCACAGCACTTCTAGGTGTGATTGTTCCCCCAGAGGGGTTGTGCCTTACCTGGTATTTCTGAATCTTTGTCCAGAGGGTGTGGAACTCCTTCAGTCCCAGTTTGCCACTCCCATCATTCTACTCAGAGTTAAGGAAGTTTCTTCAGAGGGAAGAAAAAGGGATTTCCTCTCCCTCTGCTGGGTTTACTTGCATGGGCAGTTATGACTTTAAAAAAATTGCAAGCAGAAGAAGGATTCAAGTCCTCTCTGAAGGACTCATCCTCTCTCCAGGACTCGTCCTGTTGAATACACAATTATTGTCCAAGCTATCTTTCTAAATCATTAAGATCATTAATTTAAATAATGCCCAGCTTACAAGCTCTTTCTACACGCCTGCTGCAGGTCTCTGTCTTTCCACTACAAGTATAAACGAGCCAGGATGATTCTATTTTGTTCTGCATAGTGGCTTCAACACCTGCAGCTACTGGAGCACAAGTCCTGGGTCTGGATTACAAACAGGAAAAGCCACAGCCAAGCCTGCTATTTGGAGACCTTCAGCTCTTGAGCAAACAGCTAACAAAAGAACCTGCTTGTGGCACTGCTCCCAAAACCTGCCATGGAGTGCCTGTGGACTCTGTATTTTACACCAAATTATAGAAAAGTATCACCTTGTGTTGGTAATTTTCCGTTTTTCCAACTCTGCAATTCAACTCCCACTGCACAGAGAAGGTGAACACAACTATTCTTAGACCTGATCCTTCATCCTACACTTTTGCCTGTATCTTGGGAGTAAAAGCTCCTAAAATCCTGCATACTCTCTGCTTCCTGGATAGCATGTCAAAACAAAACACTGTATTTGTGTCCCTCATTTTCCATTTGCTAAGTTCCTGTGGCTTTGTGATGCTCTTACCAACTCCAGCCAGACAAGAGAGAGGTGAAACAGCCCTGCAGCCAAGGCCATCCTCACCATGCTGAGAGCCTTTTCCCAGCACAAACATCACTTTGTCCCCAGCTAAACCAGAACACCCAACAACTGGGAAGGCTTCCAAGCAGACTTTGCTTGATAATGGATTTTCCCATTGCCTGGGATAACACACGTGTGAACCACAGTAACAAGGGAGTGGCTTTCCCAGGGGAATCAGGGTAAAGCCAGCTTCTCCACCTCAGGAGCTGTAAGTACACCAGGATGGACCCAGCAGGGAGCAGAGGCAGCTGGCCTGCTTCAGCACAGGAAGGGGAATGTCATCTAGGAAGAGCTTTAAAGGATACATCTAACAGGTCAACCATTATTTTGCATGTCTCAATGCTAAAGCCATCAGATTTAATATCTTGGCCTGTAAAGAAAGAGCAAAAGACAGGATTATCACTGCATGCTGTACCACAGCACCTTCCTAAACAGCTCATGAGCTCTCCAACCAGCTTTTATTTGCTTCCAATGGTGCCATCCTTTGAGCTGGGATGTGTCCCCAAGCAAACAGCCTGAGTAGTCTGGTTTGTAGGCATGCTGCTGGAGCAAGAGACAGAGACAAAAGCTTTCCTGCTCTTACTGTCTGCCTGCAAAGTGGACTTCTGTGGGCAACGTGGATCTCCAGCTTATGAAGGTCAGCAGGAGGTGGCTTCATGAAAGGCTGAACACGAAGCCAAGCTTGGCAGCCAGCAAAAGCCCATTGCTGATTACTGGCTGCTGCACAAGACATACACGACCAGCCCTGACCACCTGACAAGATTTCTCTTTGGAAATTAAAGAGACACTTATTTCTCCAAGCACTTGTTTCTTGAGCACTATTTTTAGTGGTAAGGAAAATAATGCAGAGCCAAGCTAGGAATCTCTTCACAGAAGCCCAGAGTTTCAAAGTTTCTCCTCCTCCTTAGGGACACCCCAGACCACTGGCTGGGCTAATGCTTGAAGCACTCCTGGGTGCTTCAATACTAAAACAGCAGCAACATCTCTCTTGATTATTATCACGGATTATTCAAATCCATCCATCCTCCTGGCAGCCAATTCCCAGTGGCAGATGCTGGGATAGAAGACACCCATCTGTACCCTGCCAAAGCACACATCTTGTGAAACACCTTCTGGGCTGGCACAGCCCCAGCGTTCCTGCAGCCCCCTGGAGCAGCAGAGAGCACATGATCGTGGCCATATGGAGAGCCAAGCAGCAGGTCTGGGGCAGAGCTGGGTCAGCAGTGCCCTCTGTGCCACCACGGCCACGGTGCCAACCTGCTGGTGGCATCTGAAGCTGCTGGGGGAGGAAGGCACTCACGTTTAGCCAGGATTTTATTCAAGATGCTGCGCAGTTCGAAGGCAGAGATCTCTGCATCCTGTGGAAAAGAGGAAAACAAATTTCCCACCCTGAGCTGCAGACACCATCTGCAGCCTCTGATTAATTTGAGCAAACTGGCCAACTTCTAACACCCCTTCGAGTTCAGCTCCCTTGAATGGAAGCAAGTGGGAAGCTCTCCCCACCTTCCATTCCCAGGAGCATCACCAGTTCCCAGAGATCAGCACACCCAGCAGCAAGGTGTGCCCGAGGCAAGAGCAGCTGGGGAGAAGCCCAGCCCAGCCGTATGCTCTGCCCAAGGACAGAATTCAGGCCCTGCAGAGATAAAAGTCAAGCCCAGAGTTCAAAAGGAGCAGAGATTGTTCACCAGGAATGCTCAGAAATCCTCTGTGGGAGCAGGTGGGTGACTGCACAATTGTGCTCACACTTGAGAGCTGCCTCTGCACAAGAACTAAACTCTGTCCTGGAGGAGGCATCTCTCTTCCCATTCACCAGGATGCCAGTAAGATATTACCAGAAAAACACTCACATTTCCTGCTAGCTGCCCAAAAAGCTTTTTAAAGCTGGGTTCGATGTCATCTTCACTGATCTCAGTCTAAAAGATAGAAACAGAGAATGTCAAAAAGGTATGGGAACTGTTTGGGAAAGTTTGGGAATGAATGGGAAATGGGAAAGTTTCTGCCTGAGAAAGACTTAATGCATTTCCTTGCCCTTTGTAAAAAATTCAGCTGGCAAGGCTGAAGGTACAAAGTAGTTTTTACTATGATTTTATTCAGTTTTATTTTCAAGGGTACCTCAAAATACTGGCATTGTAAATGCTGGAAAAAACACCCACTACACATGGGGTAGCTGCATTAGCAGGCAAAGCATCCCCAGCTCCAGCAGGACTAAACATATGGTGAGCCACTAATTACTCCTGGAAACAGCATTACATGCAGAAAGAGCCCTGCTGCTGAAAGCTGCACTCCTGGAGTCCTGGAGAACAAAGGGAATTTCCTGTGCCTCCAGTTAACTCTTGAGAGTGCACCTCTTCGTGGGAAGTCCAAGTTCTAGATAAACACTTGTTTCCATTACATTCCTGATGATATTTCCATTTGCTTGACACCCAGATATGGATATTGAAAGATCTTTTCCTATTTTCCCATAGTGGGACAACATTTCTTGATAATGCCTACAGAAAACATCACCCTGCACAGGGAACAGGCATTCCAACCCCCCATTACAACGAAATTATCTCAACTGAAAACATTTCACTTGATGTACCTCATCAAAATTGCCTTCAATTTCATCATCTATCACCCTAGAAAGAGAAAGAAATCAATATTAAAATCAAAACAAGTAATGTTTATGATGCTTTTCCTTCAAGCTGCAGTTAAAGAGAGGTTCTTTAAAATAGGGAAATAACAATGAGCATTCAAAAACTGACTGGATTAATCAGCTATGGACACAGCACAGCACAGAGAAAGCTGTATTTTGTCAGCTGTGGCAACAAGAGTTTGAAAAGACACACTACAAATTGTAGTGCCACAGACAGGATTTTGGGGCTCACATAACTCTTTAGGTCTTTTTTTTTTTGCCTACTTAGCACAGGACCAGGTTCTTGGGTACAAATCAAACTTTAGTCATTTCTTCTTTAAAACAGCAAAAAAGTGAGAGCCCTAAAGTAATTCTGATGTGTCTTATGCTGAGGGAGCACCAGACATACAGATGGTACCCAAGAACGCCCATCAAAAGCTGAATGTGCCCTCACATCACCAACACCCCGGGTTTCTCACTGCTGCAGAAATATGCAGCAAAGTATTTTAGGACAGAGGAAGGTTTCTGCTTGCTTTGGATCAGGGCAACTCAATCCAAAAGACCCCACAGCCCTTCCTCAGGCTTTAGCCCAGCTGCTCTTCAAGATGTGACATGCCTGAGCCTTTTAATTTTAATTAAACAGTAATTGGGATAACAAAAGCAACAAAACTATTATTATTATTATTATTATTAGTCCCCATGTGCCCACTGCTGTAATACGGTCACCAAAAGTTACCTACGTGGAGTTTGCATTTTTTTCAGAGAAGACCCTGAGGCAGAAGTCCCCGTTCTTGTCGGGTTCAAAGGTGGAGGGCACGATGATGTATTCTCCTGCAGGGAGCTTGAAGCGGTTCAGCACCTCCCGGAGGTTGATGAAGGTATTGGATTTTTCCCGGGCTTTGTTGGTCAGGAAGAAGTTTTTGCTCAGATGAATATTTGTCTGGCCAGAAAACTTAGGGAAAGCAAAGAAAGTAAAAAAAAAAAAAAAAAAACCCACTGCAGTCTGCATGTGTTTACAAATTTAAAATATCATAGATATGTCAGCCAGCTATGTGTGGGGAAAAGAAAATAAATAATATATCAGTTTGACAGAACTGAAAAAGAAGAGAAAGGGAGTGGGACTCCTGAGATGTGGCTGCAAATGTGTTTTGCAGATCATTGCAATAAATCATTCAGGTCATGCTTTTGTTTTGCAGATGATGATGGGTGGCTGAAGACATTGGGCACATTCTTCCACCAATCATTTTTCTTTAACCTGAGATGGCACATGAGCCATGTCCCTCTGGTCCCCAGAGCTGGTGCCACCTGCAGCTCAGCTCTGCCTCCCAGGTCACAGCAGAGCCCACTCATGGAGGGCTCCAAGAATAAAATTAACCAAAACAATAAAATAAAATCATATCTGGAGCTAAACATCTAGTGAAAGGTGTCCCTGCCTGTGGCAGGGGGTTGGGTGATCTTTAAGATCCCTTCCAACCCAAACCATTCTATGATTCTGTGATCTTCCAGAATTAACTGTTTTTGCAGAGTCTCACAGGTGGGCTGCTTCAGCTCTAGAAACCAGCTTCAGGAATGTGCATCTTTCAGAAACCTCCTCCTTCCTGTCCTCCCAGATTTTTAACAATGAAGAAAGAATTTTAAAAACCTGTCAGACCTGCTGCATAGTGGGAGATTAAAATTCCACCTTCTGGGGGAAAGAAAGAGTCAGAATCAGTTTTCTTACGGAAATTAAATACTTGGACCACTAGGGTGACAGAGTACTGCTAAGGCATTAAAAACGTACGTAAGAAATTTAATTAACCAGCAGCACCATTTCTTTTCCTGATGAAACCATACTTTACATAAAATCTACTGGTTTGGGCACAGCCTCAGGAGCCACAGGATGGCCCATCTGCTTCACACAGACCCTGACAGGGACAGCAAACCCAGTAATGGGGTACCCAGGCCTTTTGCTGACTTCAGTCCTTCCTCTGAGGAGCAGCAGCTCAGAGGCTTTGTTGCATTGCCACCCCTCTGTGACCCCCAGGGTGTACTATTAGCTGCCTGCAGGTAGAAATAGAGAGAACCAAAAGAGGTGGTGCTTAGGGAAATGAATATAAACACCTCCTTGGAATATTATTCATGAGTCAAACATGAACTCTGTGCAAACCTGGAAAAAGCAGCTGTGCTCTGGGGGAGCAAGTGTGGGGCTGGGCTGAGAGGAGAGCCACAGAAGGGTTGCTTTGGGGAGTTTTTGCAGCACTGAACACTCCTATCCCAATACAGGACACTCTAAAAATGCAGAATCAAGGCCCCTTGCAGAATCAATGGCCTCCAACTGTAGACTCTGTGCAGTCACATTGTCCTGCAATGAAGTAGGATCCTCTGAACCTCTTCTTCCCACCAGCCACTGAGCCCCAGCTCTGCACCTGGACCACCAACCCATGGCACGTACCTCTGGGGGCACCTGCAGGGAGAAAAGGAGAGAGTTATTTGTTTGTTGAATGGCAAATGGCATCTCCATCTTCTTTTCACCATCACTAGCAAGGACATCCACATTCTTCAGGGGAAAAAAAAAAGCAAACCAAAACAAAAGAAAAAAAGACTGGGCTTGAGAGGAAGGTAGGTGTTGAGCCTGCATCACCCAAGGCCAAGTGCTGGCTCAGCTCCCAGCTCCATCCCTGAGGCAGGGGGCAGCCAGAGCCAGAGCCAGGCTGGTTGTGGCTTCCTGCTGAATCTCCTCCCTGCAGCCCACCACGATTTTCATTGTAGGCTCAGTTTCTTTACTGTTTCTCCCCATCTCCTGTTTCTCACTCCTGGCTCTCTGACCTTTCCATCAGCAGGAGAGGAGACAGGGGCTAAGCAGGCCTGATGCAGCTTTTTGTTTCTTTACAGCCTCCTTGCTGCAACTGCTCAAGAGTCCAACTCAACCCATCTGAGTTTTGATGGAAAGCCCAGCCTGGGAACTGCACTATCCCATTTATGGGTGGAATGGTTTCCCCTTTTCCTCCCAGGTCCTGTCAGCCTTCCTTGCCTCATAAATGGCAAAGCCGATGGTGTGCATGTCCTCCCCCATCTTCCTCTGCCTCCGACGGTGCTTCTGGATCAGCCCAATGAGGAAAGTGCAGCCTCCCTCAGGATCATCAGGGTCCTCATCTTCTTCCTCCAGCTTGATTAAGTACTGAGGATTGGTCCAGAATGTGTCTGGGAAGTAGATTTAAGCAAACCACTCAGAGACTTCTTTGATAGCAACCGTGATGATATTTAAACGCGTCAGATGTGACAGATGTGGCTCTGACTGCCAAAATCAGCTGTTAGAAGAGAAAACCAATGCACTGCCCTGCCCACCCCCACGTCAGCCTTTACAACCACAACAGACCCTCATCAGGGAGCCAAATTTCCCACACTTTTTGGAGTTTAGTCCTAGATATCCCATAAGCCATCCCAAACGATCTCCCGGAAGCTCCCAGAGAAAGCACAAGTGGACAAGAAAAAGGATTCCAGTTTTTCTTACTTGGGTAGTTCCTGCAGCCCCCTGCAGTGGCTCCTCGCCTCCAGTTGCCATCCAGCTTCTGCAGGCTCCACTTTTTGTACCTGTCACTTGCCAGGGTGTCTGGAGTCAGGTTACAGATCTCCAGGCGGGAGTAATGCCTCAGGAAGTCGTGGAACGCCATCCTGTGGGAGGCAACGCCACTGGCAACCTCTCCTCAGGAGGGTTTTCCATCCCAGCACCCCGTCCATCCTCCCTCCCTGTCACTGTGATTCAGCACTAGGGTTTGGGGTGAATTTGCACACTCCTCTTGGAGAGGTTGCTTTGCATGAATAAAAGCAGAGCAGCTGACATTCCCTTCTGCTGGAATGTGACACTCACCAAAATTCCCCATCCTCGTGTCTTCTGGTCAGTTGCTCCCGCACCTCAGGGTCAACACCACTCCAGTTTGGGCAGCTGGAAGAGAACCCCACATCAACTACAGCCCCTGGGAAAGGTGAAACCCTAATGTGGCTGTTCTGGCACAAGATCTAATTTTTAGCAGTTCCAGAATTCTCAAACCACTGCAGAATTAAAAATAGATGCACCTGGTACATAAAACACCTCACTTCTCAAATATCCAAGGTAAGGATGAGAAACAGAGTGTTATTTTTAGAAAGTGCAATGTCTGGACTGAGACAGAAAATGGAAGAGTCAGAATGAAAACTGCCCAGCCACAGAAGTAAGTTAACTCCAGCTTTCATGGCTAACTCCATGCAGAAAGGGATTTTTAAAGCCCTTTTAGAAAGTGAGTTTTCAGAAGCTCACCACTGAATCCAGGCTGTTAAATAAGCAGAAACTACAGGGAGCTTTCCAGGATTCACCGACCAAATCACTGCATCTTACACAAAGGCTGGAATTTGCATGAAAGGCATCACATCCTGTGGTGGCTACCAGGGAGATGACAGTGAGGGGATGCTTCTCTCTGAAACATTTCCATGCGAACACCACATCCAGACAGGACTTACAGAGGAGTTTCAGGTAGGGAACAGACAGAAAAGCACAGAAACACGACTGCACCCCTGCAGTAAAGGACTGCTGGCAACAAGGAAGCCATTGACTCACTTATCATTCCATTTCCCAGTCCACTCCACTTCTCCCCAGGGATTTCGGATTCTGATCAGCTTCTGCACTGTCCCTCGGAAGTTCACCTGATGGGATCAGAAGTGGATGGAGAGTCACCAGGGACTCAGCACCACACTCCCTCCCTCCCTCATCCTCTACAGTAATTAAAAACATGACAGAGCACGTATCTCAGTGCTAGGCATGACAACATGCACACATTTGGTCCAAAAGACAAAAGTCCAACTGATTCTGAGTGAGCTTCACACAGCCAGGCTGTTCCAGAGACGCATAAACCAAAGATCATGGAAACCAAAATGTCTGATTTGTGCTGCTAAAAAAATCACCTTTGATAGGCTTACAAGAAAAGGGAATGTAAAACTGCTATATAAAAGCCAACAAGCAGGTACAGAGATATTTCTCAAAGTCATTGCTTAGGCATAAATTGTCTCTTCACATTCACATGCCTTTTTACACATTCAAATGCCTGTTACAACAGCCAGGACACTCAGACTGGCCACAACCCCTCTGACCACACCAATGCCCCACAGAGCAGCAGCCTCAGCCCCTCCTCTTGTCATCTGCAGGTCTCTGCAGTCCAGAGATGATACCCCAGTTGAACTATCCTTACAGAGTCTGCACAGATCTCCAAAGGAGCAGCCTGGATAAATCATGCCCAATTGTGAGCTAAGGTGAACAAACTCCCTCTTCCCTGCTTTTGCTGTGAGAAGACCAAATGCACACCCACAAACCAGCACAGCATGTCAGCAGCTCTCTACACCTCACCCTGAGCTTTCAAAAAGTATTTCAGAAACAATTACCAATGAACTAACCAAAAATCCACTGCACACATGGAAGGATGCCATGATCTGCTTCCTTTGTTTTGTCTTGCCTTCACCAGTCACCCACTCTTGGGGAGGCCCCTTGTGCTTGAACACAAGCCCAGCTGAAAGATGCTGTTCAGCAGCCACTTTGGGGACAATAATACATGGGGGGTTGTTGGTTTTTTCCCCTCAGGACACTTCTTGCTGTGCTTCTAAGATAAAAAGTGTGGCCTGCTGTACAGAAGTGCACTGAAGGGTCTGGTCACCAGCAGAGGACAGCATGCCTTCTGCACAAAGCTGCCCACCCCTGCTCAGTGGAAATAGCCACGCTCAGGAATAAGAGAGGTTTTTTCCTTTGGTCAAACACCCAAGAAGGCAAATCTGTGTTTATCCAAAACATACCAACTAATAAAGCATTCCTTCAGAAAGAAGAGACTCAAAACCCAATTCAGCAAAATGGGTGACACTTAGGAATTTGCAGTGTTGAAGATGGGTTTGTGGCTGCCCCACACACCTTGGGGTGGCACACCTACCTCCTGTGCCCCGGTGACCGAGTACGCGTGTCCCTTCACCAGCTTCTGGGAAGTGACTGCTTCTGTTTCTGCAGCACTGGTGATCTGCAGGGCAAAGGACATCAGTGATTGCAGCTTCCCGTGGGCAGGGGATCCAGCAGAACAAAGCTTCCCCCTCCAACAGAGCTTTCATCTCGCTGGGAGGCTGCAGGAGTGGTTTAGCTGCTGCACAAAAGCAGTAAGTGTGACAGAGCAGGGAGAGGGGACAGCAGCACGTGTGGTGGGGCTGGGACCCCAGGGAGTTTGCCATGTTTGTGGCATGGGGTGCACAGCAGAAGCCTGGCACTGTAGCACAGTCCCCTCCTGGCTCCAAAACACTCAGCGTGGTGCAGCCACTCTTGTGCATCTCCAAAGGGGATGCACGCCATAAACTCCATATTCTCAAGGGACCAGGAGAAAAACGGAGTGACTGGCCTGATGCTCCCCAGGGATCACACCCAGCAAATTTCAGTGTCAAAACACCCCCTGCAGCTCCATAGCAGGGTGGGAGGTTCCCCTCCCTTTCCCCAACCCTGCTACCCCAGGATCTGCCCTGCAGGGCATCGAGGGAAGAGGCTGAACTTCGGATGCCATTTGTACCTGAGGGCACATCCCTCTCAATTTTTCAGAGCCACTGCTTGGGCAGCCTGGCCTTTAAACACTGCAGAGAAAAGTCCCTTCTTGCCAGACAGTGAATGTTTAAGCACCTATGAAACATGTGGCTGTCACTGTCCTTCCACCTTTTCAGAAGTGTGTGACCTCTAAACAAGCATATTTGAAGCTTAAACAAACGGAGAGGATTGGATGGAGCAGGCAGGACTCCTGCTGTCAATTCATGGCCTATTACTGCCCAACAGCACACTCTCCATTTAATGCTTAATCTCTGTGCCCCTGTTTCTCTTACAGAAGAGAAGGAAAGATTTTACGAGCTTTTTATTTTTTTCAAAGGGTAAACTCAGCAACAGTTAATTTACACTACAGAAAGTGGCAGCACTTATCAACAACATAATATATTTACTCTCCCCCCCACCCACCCAAGGGATTTCTATAAGTCTGGGGCAAAAATCCAGATGTCAGATTCTTATCTAAATGCAAACGAGTAAAACAGGCCTTGAAAATACCATGAAGTCAAATTGACAGTAACCAAGCACTTTTCCTGCTGTGAAGCTTCCCTCTCCTGGGACTCTGATTTAACTTGAAAAATGGGAGGAAACATTTACATTTATATTATGAATGGAGTTTTTGTAAACAATTTACCTTCCCTTTAGACATAACTAAGATGCAATCTCATTTGGGAGGAGGGTGATTACCACAATAACAATACATAGACTCATTTCAGTAAGGCTCAAAGCCATGCTGAATCCTTGAAGGCAGGGCCAAAACTCCTCTTTTCTTTCCCATGTGGGTCCAGCTTCTGACAACATGTCTTCCCATAAAACCTTTTAAAGGTCTGGCAACAGTCCGAGCCTCTCTGCTTCAAGAACAGAGCCCACATTTTTTGGGAACGTTTTCAGTACAACTTGTGCAACAAAAAGGCTGCAGCAAGGATGGACATTGTCACCTCTGAGCACCTGACTGCAGGAGCCATTAGCAGCAGCTCTCTCAGCCTGTGCCATCCTGCTGCCAGGTTTTCTCAGGAACACAGCTGTCCATCAGCACCCCTGACAGGTTCCCTGTGTGATTCATCACCCTCAACCTTCTACACAGCAGAAGGTCTCACAGAAGAAGCACAAGGGAGGGAATGAACTTTTTACATGCACTATTGGAGTTTAGTTTCAGCCTAACCCCCATGGACAGCACATGTCTGAGTCACATCTGTGGGTCAAATTCTTCAGGCACAAGGCAGAGCAAGGAACCCCAGGCAGAGGGGACTGCACGCTGTGTGCAGCTCCTGCAGGTGCAGCACAGCTCCAGCCCCAGCCTGTGTGCACAGCAAGAACCCAGAGACAAACCTGCTAACTCACATCAATGGAGCAGCCAAGGAGAGAGCCTTTCTGGAGTGCCTTCTGAATGATCTTGAAGAGGTTGGGGGGTGGCTTCTGCAGCTCATACCATTCTGCAATGCCGCCAGTGAAGTCCTCGAAGCCTTCGGTGGTGGTGCCACCAGAGAGGGACTCATATGAGCCATTCAGCCTGCACAAAACGGGGGACACACACAACCATCAGGCTCCCTGTTCTCTTCTTCTCACACACACACAACCATCAGGCTCCCTGTTCTCCCCTTCCTTCAGGAGAGGCACAAATGTGCCAGCTGTCACAGCATTTCTGCCTTCAGGAGCATTACAGCAGCTACAAACGTGCCCCTCCATTCAGCTTTGCTTCTTAGACCTCTGTACTTGGAAAGGCCAGCATAAAATATCATACAATCATGCATACACCTTGCAGGTTCAGTCTTATCAATGACAGGAATCATGAACACTATCTGAAGAAAAAAGAATATATAAAAAAAATATAGACCAAAGAATTTGCCTCTCTAGCTCCACACTCCTTAAATCCCTTTAACAGTTATGGGTCTGAACTTCAGCGGATTGAAATTTCTTAAGTCAATTCAAAATAGTAGAGTTAGAGGATAGAATTCCTCTCTGGCCAACCCAAAAATGGAGATTCAGATGTGAGCACTGATAGAATTCCTCTCTGGCCAACCCAAAAATGGAGATTCAGATGTGAGCACTGAACACAGACCTGGGCACGTGGACTGATGTGCTTTGCACACCGAAGCACTGGCAGCTGCCAAGCCCTCAGAGGTGCATAGAGCACACAAAATGGAGCTTCCCAGGCCCTGGTGACAGAAGGCTGCTCCAGGAACAGCCTTGCCACAAGATGCAAGAGCTGCTTTACTTGGCTAGCAACAAACCCAGTGCTTTTGGCTCCTTGTCTTAGGCATCTGTCAACAAAGCCGTACCAAAGGAGCCATTTGGGGGATATCCCAGAAGAGAGCCATTTTGTGGGATACCCCAGAAGCTGCAAAGGCTGAAGAGCAGACTGACACTGATTGCACAGTCTCCGTGCAGCTGGGGAAGCTGTGGGGGGGGATACCCCAGAAGCTGCAAAGGCTGAAGAGCAGACTGACACTCTGAATGCACAGTCACCGTGCAGCTGGGGAAGCTGTGGGGAATGTCAGGGGGGGAAGCCTGGCCCTGACTCACTTGGCATAGGCCTTCTCCAGCAGCGCGCTCCAGAACTCGCCGCCCTCCGCCGAGTGCACGAAGAGCAGCTCCCCGTTCTTGGTGGGCAGCCTGTCGTCCACCACCACGTCCACCCACTCCCCATACTGCCAGAACTGAGGGAAAGAGAGCACAAACATCCATCACCACCCCATGCTGGTGGATGATCGCCATCCCATCAGCATATTTGTCTTTGAATGTCGATTTCCCTGGGGAAAAGCAATCCCCGTGTCCCATCCAGCTTCACCCACCCTGACCTGTTCAGGGATGCACATACTCAGCTGGCTCTGCTCAGGGAGGAAGGACCACAAAGGCAGCCCCTGCTCCCAGATCTTGGATTAATGGCCTTGTCCCTTCCACCACCTTTTTCAGATGTCTCCTTTTTTCTGTCTGGCTCTTTGACATCCCACAAAGCCATGCCAGGAAACATCGCACATGGATACATAGCCAGCCACATTGGCTCCTGCCCAATAGCATTAAGAGGAAAAAGCTGTTTTCCACATACCTGGAAGTGGAAAATTCCTGCATATTTATCCTGGAAGCTCTGGTCTTTGGGAACAACACGGGCCAGAATTTCTTCATTCAGGGTGAGAGAAGCAATGGCTGCCAAGAGCCAACAGTCTCCTGTAAAAAGAAAATGAAAAAGAAAAAACCAGGCAGCATTCATTATTCGAACTTTAGTTTTTGCACTGCATCAGGATTGGTCATTATAACCACTAATTCCTTCAGCTGGGATAGGATGATCCCTCCCATCACTTTATCTCTGAGACAGACCAAATACCCTCCAGATCCATGCAAGTGTTCCCTCAAGAACAAAGTCATAAAAAAAAGTCAAAGCAGGCTTTTTCTGACCCACCACTACAGTGATCACCCATTCTAGCACCATTTGAAAGAAAACTTAATATTCAATGGAGTGCCTGTATGATAGGAAGCAGCACAGAGGAAAGGCAAAGAGCCTGTGGGCACACACAGGAACTTAGGGGTACAATTTCTCCTCAAAGGTGTTTTCTCAGGCATAGGCTGCATTCTTTTCCCTTCTCCATGTTTAATAAACATGTTCCGTGCTATCCAGAGACCCGTCCTGCAGTCAAGCTCCCTTTAAGGTCTCTTGCCAGCCTCCCTGCAAACAGAAGCTCCTTTCACCTTACACATCTCTGGAGGCTCTTGCTCGAGGCCTCTCTGTTTATTCCCATGTCTGGTCTCCAGCACAGTCAGTGGAGAGCCAGGAAAGGCCTGAAGGCAGGCTCTGTTTCCCTGCCCCACACACCTCCTCATCCTGCCTGGGATTGAGCCAACACCCACCAGCCCTGCACATCACAGCCTGCCTGGACAGTGTTTTTCCACACCATCTCCTGCCAGGCAGAGGGAGGAAGAGACCTCAGCTCTATAAACATTACACCTCTACTTTCTGCAATTCTGTTCAGAGCCCAGTTTTACTTTACCAGGGCAGCCACCTTTCTGCTCAGCCATGGGCCTCCTGCAGCCCATTAGCGAGGTGGGCAGAGATTTACAGAGCCCCCAGCGCTGTGAATAACATGCTCTGACTCCATGATTTCAGAAGGCTGAACAAATACTTCATTAAGCTATACTATATTACACTAATACTATACTATATTAAAGAGATACTACAGAAAAACCCATGACCCTTTCAGACAGTCACGACACAGCTTTGACCCAGTTGGTCAATCAATCCAAACACCATCACTGGAGTCCAATTAACAAACCACTTTGGGTAAACCATCTCCATAACACATTCCACATGTGCCAAACAACAGGAGCAGCAAATAGAGATAAGAACTGTTTTCTCCCTCTGTGCTGCCTTCCCCAGGAAGAATCCTGGGAGAGAGAATTATGTCTCTTTCTGTTCAGAGAATGTGAATACCACAAGATGATGCCCTGACTGCCACAGCCTGACACAAAACTCCTTGTTACCATCCCCAGATCTGCTGTTCCCTTGCTTTGTGAAGAGAGGGCAGTCAGTATTGCACATGAGATCCCACAGGAGCGTCCTGCAGGATTTCAGGTTCAGTGTGTGAACCTGCCACAGCTGCCAAGCAGCAGTCCCTACACAGCCACCTCTCTCCCATGGGAAAAGGCTCAAAAGTTTAAGGGTAAGGAGCTGAGGTCCAAATGGGACAAAGTCTCAGGGTGAATGAACTCTAAAGCTGCCCTCGAGGTCCACCCTCAGGCCCAAATCCATCACTGCTCAGGCAACACCAGCAGGAGCACGGACAACCTGCAGCTCCCTCTGGGCTGCCCTGGCTTGGCACAGCTGACCCCCAGCAGCAGCTCTGAGAAATACATCTGTCCCATCTTTTCCTGTCTCAGGAGAGGTGGAAGAGGTGAAATTGCAGAATAATTTCAAAACCTAAGGTGCTTATACTGCTTCACAACCTGGAGGGGAAGAAGTGAACATAAAACTTCCCTTTCAGCCCTGCCTCAGGCTGCTTGTACTGCAATGGAAAAAACAGCTTGTCAGAGAAGTTTTCAAACAGGAAAGTCACCTTGCTGTTCTCCTGTGACAGACCATGAAGCAGTGATGAAATTCCCCTCCCTACTCTGTCACAGCACATCCACCTGGCCCTGCAGAGTGGGGACTCCTCTCACAGCCTCCTTCAAGGAGCTGGGAGCCTCCTCCCTGGGAGCTGCATCCAGAGGCAGCACCACCCACTGCAAAGGTGTTTGCTGGGAAAGACAGGGCCAGGAGGAAAGAGTCTGGCTCAGAGGGCAGCTGTCACACCATTCTTCCCAAGAAACATTGGTATTTCCATTCCATAGCCAGGGCAGGGGCTGGGCAGGTAGGGAGCAGCACAGGAAGAGCAAATGAAAACTCAAAGGGCCACAGCAGCTCAGGAGGGCTTGCTCTAGAAGCTGATCAGGCCTCCAGATGGTGAACAAACACTTCAGTGCTGTAACACATCTTTGAGTCATGCTTCCCCTGGAGGTAAGAAGCAAGGAAATTCAAGGGGAAACACCCTCCAGAGGACCTCCACACCCACAAGCAGAATTCATAAAGAATTTCCTTGACTTTCTAGCTGTCTCATCAAGGGAGACTGAAATTACAGCCTGTTGTAAAATCTCTGTTGAACTTTATACTGGTTTCTAACAGGAATTTGGAGTCAAACACAAATCTTAATTCTAACAACTCTGGGCAAGGTCTTGAGGTTTAAAGTCAGCTGCAGCATACGTGGAAGACATCCTTTGGTTTCCACACCTAAAAGTGCCCAGCAGGCAGGATATCATCTCCACCTTTGTGAGCAGCCATCACTAAAAGCACACCTGATAATTCAGACTCTGGATGAGAACAAATCTTGTGATTATAGCTGCAGTTTCAGCACTAAGCAATCTTGAGCAGGGTCTTTACCAAGTAGTCTGAACTTCCAGAACTGGTGCTTCTGCAAGGTTCTTGACAGTGATTTTACTTTGATAGGGAAGGAAAGTCCAAGGAGAGGCTGACAGGTTTCTTAGACCCTGAAAGGAGTGTTAGTAAGACTACATTCATCATAAATAATTTTTGTAAATGAACAGTAGGCAGGACAAGGTTATCAGAAAAGGGAATATTCTCAGACTGTGAGTTTATCTATAACACATATTAACAAGAAGTGCTAATTTTTGTCCTGTCATGCTTACTTTTTCCTGCTTTCAGTGTTTTACTTTTAATTTCCACATAGCCATCTCTGCATTTACCTAATCTCCAGCTCTAAGAAGAACGTTGAGAAAAAAAAAAAGTAATTGCAAGGCAAGCATAAATAGCCCTAAGGGCTTAAAATTAGCCACTCTGGGGAAAAAAAAAAAAAAAAAAGGCAAACAAAACACACCCATCAAATGCCTGAAGGGCTGTAAGCAAAAGGCAGCTCCTCTGGTCACTGCACAGCTCATGTAAGAGTATGGGGGAAAATGAAAAATGTACATTCTGCCAATCACAGACTCATTATTATTTTATAACAGTCTTAGATGAACAGCCACTGAATGTATTTATATCAATACCACAGCACTCCAGAATGTTTTCTGGTCACAAACAGGAGGCTGTGGCAACCCCCTGGCAGTGGAGTGGCTGTCAGCATGAGGAAACCAAGGGTCTGATTTTCCAAATTCAACCTACTCAATTTGCTGTTTTTTCACAGCTTTGTTACGTGAGGAGGAGACACCTGCATCCAAACAGCAGCTGGGAGATCCTGTGCTGTTTACACCCCAGTGTTGTGATACCGTGGTGACACCCACTCCAAAAAAAGGTGGCTAAGGGTGAACCAGGCTGCTCTGGCTTTGGAACCTCCCCTCAGCTGTAATGAGTCACCACATCCCATGCGCTGCCATTTGGAGCCAAATACCATCACTGACTTTGCAGATCTGATACTGCAAGACCAACTCCAAATACTCTCCCTCAAAAGTTTCTCCTAAGGAAAAACCCCAAAACAACAACAAAACCCAACAACAACACACCAAAACAAACAAACAAAAAAAACATCACAAGGCCAGAATAAAGGATAATCCAAATCCCAAGGGGCAGAACTTTGGTGTCTGGAGAACATTTTCTGCACTGATGATCAGCTATGCCTTATGTGGATCACAGTTTCTTACAGTCCAGGTCAAAAGCAATTAAACAAATTTATGCACCTGGCTAAAGACTGCTGAGCTGAAAGAAACCCTGCTCATTAGCTGAGCTCTTTGGTTACACATTCCCTGCCAAGGAGCTGCTGTGCAGATGTGCTGGGTCCGTGTGCTCTGGATGCCCCATCTGATCCTGCACTACTCCCAGATGTTCTGAAGGGCTCAGCAACAGCAGTGAAACTCCCCATGGACACAGGTCTGTTGCTTTTTGAGCAAGTCTGTTGGGGGATAAATAAGACTACAAAAGCTTCCTACAGAAAAGAAGCAGCATAATGAAAAGTACAGGTTTCCAAAAGCACCTGATTGCACAGCTTCCAGTGCAATCGTCTCTATAACATCCTAAAATGTGATGGGCCATGAACATTCAAAGTAACTACAAAGCTCAAGTAAATGTAGATTTAAGCAAATTTATCAATACAAATGCTGGTGTCAGATAAGGCAGTGAAAAAAAAAAAAAAAGAAAACCAGAAAGCATTTGTACAGTGCATCTGCCAGCCCCATTGTGTGAAAGGGCAGAGATTCCATCCAGGCTCTTAGGAACTCAGTGGCTATACAGAGATAAGATCAAAAGCATCTAACTTTTAATCAACAATTGTCACACAAGGCCAAAATCTCAGATTCATGAGAAGACAGCCAGGAGAGTCATAGCAGTACTTAGGGACAGTGAAAGAGGAGATACAAACAAGAGCACTGACAACCTCTGATTCAGATGCAGTCAGGAGTACAAAAAAGCCAGCTGTGAGCCACTGCATATCCTCTGGAGATACCACACAACCCCATGAGAACATCTGACTGGTCCAAAGACCACTAGGGCAGCAAATGCTTTCACCAATTTAAAAACAGAGTTTGGTATTAGCAACAGCAATTTCACAACTTGAAAGTGAAGCTTCAAATCTTTCGTTCCCATGCCCTTGCTGCCACAGCATCTGCAGAGAAAAGCTGTAAAAGCAGAAAGCAACTAAGTGATTCCAGAAATCAGCATCTCTACAGAAATGCCAGATGTTGAAATGGCACTACAGTAAACTTTAACTTCAATTTGAAGAACTTCTTCTCAGAAAGTTTCATAATAAAAAGAGATAACAGATGTCTGGCACGTGTGTTTAAGCACTGGGACATGCTTCATGCCAAAACAGTCATTGTATTGGGTGGAGAGAGCACAGGAAGGAAGCTGGTGACATGACAACAGCCCAAGGCACAACAGAGCCTAACCCACAGCACCCATGACATTGGGGCACGAGCAGAACCAAGGTCATAATCTAAGGATTTTTACTGTCATGGATTTTTTTATACAAATTGAATCTGGTTGTCAAAGCACTAACCTAAAAAACGTAGTTTTCTGAATGAAAACATAAGCACAAAAGATAAGCTTCTCTGCCTGTTACATTTTTGGACATGAATCCACAAAGAGCAGCAGCAGGACTAGAAACTAAGAAGTCACTACGTGGTGAATATTTGAAAGCAAACAAACAGAATTTTGTTCCTTTGCCAAGTGCAGCAGCACAGCACAGCTCATATTAGTCATGTTTCCTACAGGAGAGCTTTCCCTCAACCACACTGTCTAATCCAAACCCCTTTCACTACAGCTATGGAGTAGGAGCCTACTACTGCTTTCACTTCACTTTATTTCTTCTCCTCACATCTCTGCAGACATCCTCCACCTAAAACCCCTTCTGTCAGGCAAGGCAGGAGAGAGGCTTCCAGAGTGGGACAGCTGTGCACTCACAGCCAGGCTAAGCCATTTGCTCCCCACTGTCCCCTGGCACTTCCCTGCAGCTCCCAGAGCTTCCCTGGAGAGCCCCATCAAGGAACTGCCATTGCACAAACCGAGCAGAAGCCTTGGCAAAAGCAGAGGGCTCACAGGCTGGCCCATCCCTCCTGAAAGCAGGAGTCTTGATTTTGTCTTCCTCAAGAGCTGGCCACCAGCAGGGAATCCCCCACACAACTTCTTTTCTCTCTACAGCATCTCCCAGGGTTTCAGGAGATTCCTCCTGCCCAGCAGAACTCTCTCCTGCTGGGGAGAGAGAAGTCCTGCTATGCACACAGTTGCTCTTCCTAGCAGACTGTTAAAGGCAGAAATGAGTCAGGCTGCTCTCAGGCACATGGACGTGGATGAGAACGTGAAAGGAACTGGCCATGACCAGAAAAGCCATCAGGAAACCAGAGTGTGCCACCCTGCTTGGTGCATGCAGAAAGGCTGCGCTCAGGAACCACACACAGAGTCCCCAGCTGCAAATGCCAAGGAAAGGTGAGAAAGGGCTGATTTGAAATGAATGGAGGTGGGAGGATGCAAAAGGAGGTATTTACAGCGTGTATAAACCGTGGTGCCCTGGGGCAGCACCTGCATAGAAAACTCAGCTTTGTGCCCCACCTCACTCACCTAAGGCCCCTTGGCAGATGTCCGTGCGGGTGGCTCCTCCCGTGATGAACCGGGGGCTGGAACACAGCTCCTGGAACAAAACCAGCCCCGCATCACACCTAGCCGCAGCTGAGGCAGGGAACGAGGCCACACTTGCAGCAAATTAACCAAACCATTGACCACAGGAGGTGAACACCAGGGACGGAGCAGGGCAGGAGGGGGTGCGGGCACCGGGCACAGCAAGCACGGTGAGGTGGGAGCTGCTGAGCAGAGCTCACTGCACAGGACGTGCCCTGCACTTTCACACACGTGCACACACTGCTCTGCCATTACCTCCCCACCACTGACCACACCAAGGTCTTTCAGAAGTGCTTGGAGGCACCCCGGAATCCCATGGCTCCACCTGACCCCATGGCTGCTCCGGGAATAAACCGCACGGCGGTCAACTCACGGCCCTGCTGAAGGAAAGAGTTATGGGGAGAGACAGCCCCAAGCGCTACCCAAAGCGATCTGTCCACACGGAGAGTTCTGCACGGAGAGCAAAACGACTTTTCGGACTTGTTTGTTTTTCCCAGGCAGAGCAAGTCACGCTGCCAGCCTGTCCCGGAGCGAAGGGGAGCCTCCGGTGCCGGAGCATCCGCACGAAACGCGCTCGCACCGCGTCCGGCAGCCGCCCCCGCACGCTTCAATCCACCCAAATTCCACCCAAATTCAGGAGGTGGGGGAAGGAGGAAGCCGCGGTGATGCTGTGCAATGATGCTACCGGGGATCCCCGCCACACCCGCACGCTCCAATCCACCCAAATTCCACCCAAATTCAGGGAGTGGGGAAGGAGGAAGCCGCGGTGATACTGTGCAATGATGCTACCGGGGATCCCTACCGTGGGTCTGCGCCAGACGACGCCCTGTGTCTTGTGCGAGCGGGGCCCCAGCTCCCGGTAGCCGAGGGCGCTGGGGCCGGCGGGGAAGGAGGGGTCCTGGAAGAGCCGCCCCTGCTGCAGGCACTCCTGGCGCAGGGTCTCGAAGCGCTGCCCCAGGTAGGGCACAGCGCGGCCGTGCCGCCCCTCGCCCAACGCCGCCGCCCGCTCCTTGGCCAGCGCCTCCGCCATCCCCGCCATCGCCGCCCCGCCCCGCCCGGCACGGCACGGCACGGCACGGCACGGCACGGCCCCGCCTGTCACCCCTCCCTCCCGCCGGGGCCACGCCGCTGCTCAGCCCCGCCGCGCCCTCGGCTCGGCTGGAGCTGCTCCGTGCCCGCAGCGGCGCTGGGGAAAGCTCCGTGCCGGGCCCCGCCGCTCCTGCCCCGGGCGGCAGCGGCTCTGCCTCGCCGGGCGCCTCCGCAGCTCCGCACCTGCCTGCCCTGATTCCACGTGTACGGGTCAGTTCGAAAAGGTTGGTATTTGCCGTGTAAAAACCAGAAGTATCCATATCAATTCTCTGAGTTTAGGGGAAAAAAAAAACCCACAAAAACCCTTAAAAAACCCCAAAAAAACCCCAAACCAAACCAAAACAAAAAAACCCAAAAACCCCCCCAAACAAACAAACAAAACCAATTTAATAAAACAAAAAACTGTCACCCCTCCCTCCCGCCGGGGCCACGCCGCTGCTCAGCCCCGCCGCGCCCTCGGCTCGGCTGGAGCTGCTCCGTGCCCGCAGCGGCGCTGGGGAAAGCTCCGTGCCGGGCCCTGCCGCTCCTGCCCCGGGCGGCAGCGGCTCTGCCTCGCCGGGCGCCTCCGCAGCTCCGCACCTGCCTGCCCTGATTCCACGTGTACGGGTCAGTTCGAAAAGGTTGGTATTTGCCGTGTAAAAACCAGAAGTATCCATATCAATTCTCTGAGTTTAGGGAAAAAAAACCCACAAAAACCCTAAAAAAAAACCCAAAACCCCAAACCAAACCAAACCAAAAAACCCCAAAAGAATCCCCAAACAAACAAACAAAACCAATTTAAAAAACAAACAAACAAACAAAAAAAAAAAAAAAAAAACCCACAAAAACCCTAAAAAAAAACCCAAAACCCCAAACCAAGCCAAACCAAAAAACCCCAAAAGAATCCCCAAACAAACAAACAAAACCAATTTAATAAAACAAAAAAAGCCAAAAACACCACCAAAAAAACCCCACCCCCCAAAAAAAAACCCACAAACAAACAAACAAAAAAAACCAAAAACAAAACCAAAAAAAACCCCCAACAACCAGAACCAATGAAAAAACCCCAACAAACGAACAAAAAAACAAAGGAAGGGGAAACCCTAATATGGCTCAAATCCCACTGTGGTACGTCTGTAGCCGCTGTTGTCACCTTGTTACAACCCTGAACATCGCAAGTGACAGAGATCGCTCACAGCTCGGTTTGCGGGCGGTCCCCGCAGCACACAGCACCCACCTGCGCTCTCCGCGCAGCCCAAACCACAGACAGAGAGTTTCCCCCAAAACACACGCACAGATGGTGTGGGGGGAGAGAGTGCCTCTGTTTTGGCAGTGAGCTGCTGCCAAGAATGGCTGCAATGCTGCTGCTGGCACCCGTGTAGAACAGCATCTCTCCGAGGGAGAATTCAAACCATTTGTTTCATATTTAAAGTGTGACTCAGGGCGTGCTGGGGCCCGGCAGCGCTCCCTGGGCAGCACACACAGGCTGTGAGCCCTTTGTGCTGCACCCGCCGCCCACTGTGGCTGCCCAGCTGCCCTGGAAGGGCAGGCACCTCTTTTTGCATGTTGTTTTCTAAGCCCTGGATGCATGAAACAGTGGTTTGGAGCCATCCTATCTGACTAAAGCGAACATTGTTGCTTGAAAAATGCTTAAAGAACCTAAAATTACTGGCAGTACCTTTTGCTGAGGTGTGGTGGGAAGTTTTCCTTCATTGCTGGTACATGGTGCTCCAAATCATTGTATACCACTGTCCGTTTGCTTCCTAGTTTTGCACTTTCATCATTTATTATTCCTCTTCCTAAGCTCAGCACAGGTCCTGCTTGCACAGTTCATGGGAAGCCATTAAACAGGAAAAAGAGCTAAGCATTGCCCATTCAGCTCCCAGTGTACCAGAGGAGGCCCCCAAAATCTTTTGGAAGTTAGACATGAATGGTCTGAGCAGCAAGCACCTGTCTGTGTAGATCATGGCCATGCAAGAAAACAGCCCTGCAGCACCTGGTTGTCCAAACCTGGCGGGGCACAGTCCAACTTTGCTGTGCTTTGAAGATGCCTCCTGTCCCCTACGGGTCAGAAAGGCTCTCCTTATGAAGGGAATAATGGAATTTTTAGCAGCACATGGGAAATCAATTACACGTGGAGAGCTGGAAACAGATCCAGTGATGTCACATGCACTCAGCTGAGGTTGTGCTTTCAGCCAAGGTCTCCAGCATGGCTGTGCTGAGGCTCGAGCAGGACACAGAGTGGCAGTGGAGGATGGTTTTGCTCAGCTGTTTAGGTTTGTTAAGCTCTGCTGAGTTATCCCACAGGCAAGGCCATCTCCTGGACCAGGAGACAACAGCACCTCAGCACCTGGGAGTTTAACTGGCCGTGAGCTGTGCTGCATCCTGACTGAGGGATCTGGGAGCCGTAGAGCTGCTCCAAAAGTGTTTCTTTGGCTCCACGCAGTGGCTCGAATCTGTACAGCTGCCACAGGTCAGAATTCTCTGCTTTTACAAGAGCCAGGGCTAAAGGAAACCAGAGGCCGTTCAAAGCAATGGTTTTCACTCAGTTTTGGTTGGTGAACTCTTCTGCTCTGGCTGTTTTCCAGCAGATGTAGAAGTTTGAGCTGGGTTGAAAATTTGTCACATAGTTATTTTGCTTTTTTAAGCTATCTCTTATTGCCCATAGATGATCCTCACAGACCACTTTGGAATCACAACATATGAGAAGACAAGCTCTCAGAATGAAACTGATCTGTTTTCATGCTGCAGGGTCTACAGTACAGCGAAGCAGATTTAATCCTCATCAGCCAAGTGATGCAGTACAGGAGAGTCCCCTCATTTCTCTCTAATACACTGTACCAGAAAGGTATCTGAAACTGCTGGTAATTGGCAGTTATTTTCTTCTAAAGATTTCCCCATATACAGAACAGTCCTGACTGCATGGAATTTTCAATCTCTTCTTTGAAATTCAGGTGAAGCATTTTTCTGGTTTAATTGGTTCTTCTTTGTTCCCCCTCCATCCTCTTGCTGTCATCAAGAAAGGGGGACAGGGAAAGGAAAGCAGGAAGAGCCAGGCAAAAATATGCAAATCCCAGAGGCAACAAAAGTCAGAATAATTGTTGTAACTATTAAACCTAGGGGTTAATGCCACTTCAGCAGCAGCATTTGAGTCATGGCAACCTTAAAACTTTTTTCCTCCTATAGTACAACTGTCAGCTGTTGCTGTAGTCAACTACAGTCATCATCATCTCCTTTATATCCTCTAGATGGTGCTTGTGCATCACATTCTACACAAAATAAATCATGCTGCTGCTAATCAAGCTTGGAAAATTGATTTAAAGTGCTGTGACAAATCACTAGAATCAAATAGTTGTGGTGGGCACACTGGGTGGCCACCTGGTCCAAGCCTCCCCCAGAGAAAAGGGTTGTCCTCAGCCTCTTTCCAAACATGAAAACTGGAATTCATTATTAAAATCTGATTGTATTATAGAATGGTTTCTATTGGAAGGGACCCTAAATATCATCTTGTTCCAACCCCCCTACCATGGGCAGGGACACCTTCCACTAGAACAGGGTGCCCGAAGGCTCATCCAGCCTGGCCTTGAACACCTCAGGGATGAGACATCCATGTGGCATGGAATGACTCCAAAAAAACCTACACAGAAAAAAAAATAGAAGGGATTTTTAGATAAAATAATCACATGAATTATACTTTTCCTCATGCAGGGGAAAAAATATTTTGTGTTTAAGCCTGATGTTGTCGGAGCACTGATCCATTAATTCATTTTGGCAGGGCCCTTCACAAAGGTCTGTCTGCAGGATGAATACAGACTGTTAGCATTCCTAAAAGAGCCTCCATGCTTTGTTGCCAGGAAACAATAATGAAAGTGTAGGGATGCCAGTTTGATGACAGGGATACAGGGCAGTGGCATTAATCCCATGCTTTGCAGACATGAGATCTCTGTCATTTGCAAACATGGATGCCAGCACAGCCTGTCATTTTCTTCTGAGTATTGTTTGGCTAATGGATTTATAGAAATGTAGAATACTAGAAGAGCTCAAACCAGCTACAGCATCATCTTAGATCTCTGAAAGCCCTCCTCTACCCTGCAGGATATGGCTTTATGGTATATTGTGCTGATGCATGAAATATTTGTGCTTTTTGTTTTCTAGGTAAGAAAAGTACAGCTAAGGTGACTTGCATCTGCAAGGATCAGGGTCCCTTGAGGGTTGTCATTAATTATTAAGCCAAGGGATGCTCATATTTTCACTGCAAGAGGCAAAGAAATTAAGATGAGGCTTTTCTAGATAATCTTGTCTGTGAGCAGAATTAAGACACGCCTTTGATAAGTCCCAAGGGTGGGGATGCAGTGGTCAGGATTTTATGTGCATTTGAGGGCTTTTATTTTTTTTCTTGTGTGCAGATTCTTCAGGGGCAAAGACACAAGTTTGATATTTATGCATTCATAAAAGAATAGAAATTTTAATGGTTTGTTCCATACAGGGTACTTCATGCTGTCCTGCTGAGTTTCAAGGGATTAATCTCTAATAAGGGTAATGGAACCTTGAAAAGTCTTCTGATTCTTCTTCCTTGATTTTTAGCACTCCTTCAGAATAATTTGTTCAAATGTGTATATTAGGAATACAGTGAATTATAGCAAAGACCTCAGAGAAATAAAGATTTTTTTTTTTAAAGCAACAGCTAATTTTCACTTTGACTCATCACTTGTAATTTGGCTGAAATTTCCAAGGCATGGAAAAGCCCCATGAAGCCTTATTACACTGGATTTCTGCTGGACTCTCATACAGGAGACTTCTTGCAAGTCAGGGGGCTGAGTATCACGTTAGTACAGGCCTGCTTTTACCCCTTCTGTTCCTTAATCTTCAAGAAAATCAATCTTGGTCATTCAAGAATGACCCAATATGCACTTTCTCAATGTTTAGTGAAAAGTCCAGTTCAGCTGAAGCCACAGTGGGGATCAGAACATGTACACTGGCAGCAGCTGCATGTC